CCCGTGCTCCCCCCCACCCCCAGTGCTCCCCCTGCTGTACTGAAGCTGCAGTTGGAGTAAATTCTAAAGACAAACTAAAGTCAACTTTGTAGTTGTTTTCAGTAGTAAATTCTGGGAGTGATTTAATAATATCACATATAAAAATGAGTAGCTGCAGTAACAGAGCAGCTAGCATTAGCAGCTAGCATTAGCAGGAGCTAGCACGCTGCTGTACCAGAGCAGCTAGCATTAGCAGCAGCTAGCACAGAGGCTAAAAAACAAAAAGGAAGATTAGACAAAAACAAAAACATCCAGTTTGTTCAACAGAGTTTGAAAAGTTCACCAGAGAATTTTACTGAAATATAAGTGTTGAGACTTCGAAGCCAAACTTTGAATTTCTTTATGAAGAAACAGAAACAGAGGCTGAAGAGTCAGAACTGTTGAGTTCTGGTCAGAGAACTGTTGAGTTCTGGTCAGAACTACATCTCAGTCTTATCCTTAGGTCAACAGACAAAGGTATGAAAACATTCAGGACCAGATTTTCTCAGTAAAGATGATCCACATGGTACTTTTCATTATTATTATTATTATTTTTACTGAATTCCTGGTGTTATTTTAGAGTAAACAGCCACAAACTCAACACAAGTGAGAGCAGTGAGTGGGGGGAGTGACCCCCACCTCACCCTCTCTCTCCCTCCCCCTCTCCCCCTACAAACCGGCGGAAGTCGGCGGTTCAGGACAGAGAGGTGTGAGGCAGTGGGACGGACACTGGGACTAATCTAAACCGTCAGATCCGTCTGCTGCAGCATCCAGGCCTGGGCTGTTAAAGAAGGGGGCGGGGGGAGTGAAGTGTACAGGTCAAAGGTCGACGGCATGGACACTTTAGAGGGTTTATGAGCAAAGATTTATTTGTTAACGTTGTTTTTGTTCCTGGTTCTTACTGTTACTGTTACTGTAACGGTCCAAATACATGTAGGCTGGAGGCCCTGGGGAGTGGGGGGGTCAGTGACTACTGACCAGCAGAGGGCAGGACAACGATGGTGCCGTACACTTCCACTTTACATTCATATTTATAATATGAATGCTTTTTATTTTCTGTGAGACGTTAAAAATTATTAAAAATGACTGAGGGATTTGACTTCATCTGATGATGATGAGGTTTTTGTTGTTTTATTTTTTAAGGAAATACCAGCATATTATACCTTCTAATTTTTTCTCATAGTTTTACAGAAACACTAACTCTAGTAACACTAGTTATCACTTGATTTTAGAATTTTCAGTAGATAAATATAAATATATATTTTACTAATTTAATAAAAACAAAAATTTTTTTTTCTAACATTTTTTCAAAAAAGATTTTTTTCTAAAAATTTTTTGAAAATTTTTTTTTTGATTTTTGAAAAAAACATTTTTTTTTTCTAAAATTTATTTTTCTAAAATTTTTTTTTTTCTAAAATTTTTTTTCTAAAATCTTTTTTTGAAAAATGTTTTTAGAAAATATTTTGGTACGGTGCAATGTGATGTGGGTGGAGACTGCTGCCCCTGTGACCTGGTAACGGATAAGCGGATGAAAATGGATGGATGGATATTATACTAAAAGTTTGTATAATTTTAGTTTTTAATTCTCAGATTTTTTCTGTCGCAGCAAACGACAATTAAAGAACGGCACTCACATGGTAACGTTCACATGGTAACGTTCACATGGTGAACCTCTGGTGAACCTCTGGTGAACCTCTGGTGACCAGGTGAAGGACAGAGGACATCCATCTTCAAACCATCGACATCTGCGCCGTGAGCTGCGGTGCACGTGTGTGGGCCGCGCCTGATGTGGGGCAACTGAGCGGGGTCAGCAGTTTGAGAGCAGAGTAAATCAGAGCCGATGATAAAGGAAGGGACTGTGAGTGTGAGTGTGTGTGTCAGTAATGCTAGTGTTCCTGTGTGTGTGGTTGTCTCTGTGCGTATGTGTGTGTGTGTGTGTGTGTTGTTGCATCTCTAATTATGGATTACAGAAACCCATAATGATTGTGTGTGACGCACAGGACTTCACAGGCAACTCTTTGTGATAGCTGTGTCTGTGTGTGTGTGTGTGTAGATGCCGGCTACTTTAAATGGACTCACATGGCTTGAAGCGATGTGTGTGTGCCAGGTCTGTGGTGAGCGTATTTGTGCGACACAGGTGGGCGACGACGACTCACTTCCTCCTGGAGGAAGTCGTAAAAGATGGCGCTCGGCTTTAAAGTGTCTCTTCCTCTCATCTAATGTCTGCCATCCTCCAGTAAAGGTCTGTGTGAGGACAAGAGGGGGAGAGAGAGAGAGAGAGAGAGAGGGGGAAGTCACAACAGTAGCTGTTCTCTCTCCATTTAAATATAAACTCCTGAACTGGGAATGAAAAGTGGTTTGGAAAAAATAGTGTTTGACATGAAAAGATAAAGAGGTTTTTACAGAGGAGCAGGTAAGGAGTGTGTGTGTGAGTGTGTGTGTGTGTGTGCGTGGAGGCAGAGCACCTGCACAGACAGATCCCTGGGTTCAGTAGAATAATAATCAGGCCCTGGAGCAGAGAGGGGAGCCGTCTGTGGATGTTAGCAGACGCTAGCACGTAGTTAGCACGTAGTTAGCACGTAGTTAGCACGTAGTTAGCACGTAGTTAGCACGCAGACATTTCACAATTTACCTCAGAGTAAAACCAGACCAGTGTCCACACTGGTGGGCACCGTTCAAGGACCCTCAAGGTGAATCCTGGATTTTCTCTTTGATGTTACGTGTGGCCTAAAAGAACAAAGAAGAAGAAGAAGAAAAATATTTGAGTGTCATTTTTTGGCAGGTGTTCAAAAAAATGTAAAGATGGAGGTCAGAGGTCAAAACATAAAAACAAACATGTGGGTCATGGACCGCAGCTGTAGGTCGGTGTCGGTCCGTCCAACCATGACGTCTACTACGATAAAGACGAGCTGAGAAACAGTGAAGTGGGTGGAGGTCAACGAGGGCCCAGATCTGGGCCGTAGCCCACAGTTATGGGCAGTAGAGTTCAGGTCTGTCCCACATTCAAGAGTAATTAGATCCTTTCTTCCACTCCTGCCCCGGACAATCGCTCCACAGAGCGGCCTTTGTATTTAGTCCTTCAGCAAGTGGGTTAACAGAGACGTCAACAAAGGGGGGGTGGAGGGGGGAGTGGGGGAGAGAGAAGAAAAAAGAGAGAGTGTGAGAGGGTCTCTCTCTCTCTCTCTCTCTCTCTACTTGGCACCAGCAGCAGTTAAAATGAAGAAAAAAAAAACTTTGATAAAAAAAAAGTTGATCAGACCATCATTGAAAATCAGCTGATTCTGTTGTTGACCTTTGGTTGGTCACTTTAGTAAATGAGTAAGAAAATAAATCAGCAGATATTTGACGACTTCCTTCATGAGACTCTAGGGGGCGCTAAACTTCCCTTGTGGTCTTAAAAGTCATTTACAAAAAAAAAACAGGAAGATCAAAAGTTTCTAGACTTTACAATATCTGACATTTTTCTGATAAGG